AGGATCCGAATCCAATAATCCACGGTGGGATCAGGTGAGTATATCAACGAGTGTATTTACAAAAATCACCAAGGGAGCCGGGGTGGAGGTGAGGAGAAACCAGGAACCAGGTGAGGCACACAGGAGTAAAGGTGGAGTAGGAGAAACGCTGCTGTCATGCAGGGAGACCGATAAGGAGCTTGAAGTCAGCCAGCCAGTAGACACAGGAACATGGAGCTTGGTAGAACTTTGCTCTGGCACTGATCTGGAGTGAAGCTCCAGCTTAAATAGCTCCTTCACCTGGTCCAGGTAATGAGCAGCAGCTGTGGAAAGATAATTAGAAAAACACAAACAACAGAGAAGGGAGGGGTAGAGGAGCCAACCTCTACAGTACCTCCCCCCTAACGATCGTCTCAGGACGATGACATCATCCGTTTCTTTGGATGGTCTCGAAAAAATGCCTCTATCAAACTGGGGTCCAGGATGAAAGACCTTGGGATCCATGACCTGTCTTCAGGTCCATAACCCTCCCAATGGACCAGGAACTGGAAACCCCTACCCCGTCTCCTTGAATCCAGGATACGGTTGACCCTATATGCCGGTTGGTTGTCGATCAGTAGAGGGGTTGGGGGAGAGTTGGTGGGAGGGTTGAATGGGCTGACTGATACCGGTTTCAGATTAGAAATGTGGAAAGTTGAATGGATCTTCATGGATGGCGGTAACTTGAGCCTGACTGCAGAGGGGTTTATGATCTTGTCGATAGTGTAGGGACCAATGTACCTGGGGGCCATCTTGCGAGAGGTGTCCTTTAGACGGATGTCTCTGGTGGAGAGCCATACAGATTGGCCTACCTTGTAGTCCGGGGCTTTGGAGCGATGTCTGTCAGCTGATTCCTTGTTCCGTCCGGCAGTCCTTGGGAGTGCCTCTCTAGCTTGACTCCAAACTGTCCTGCATCGGTCCATGTGGTCCTTAACTGATGGAACCAGGATTTCAGTCTCCAACAGAGGAAATAGGGGGTGTGTGTATCCAAGGGAAACCTCGAAAGGTGTCAGGCCAGTAGCGGATGAGGTTAGGGTATTGTGCGCATATTCCACCCAGAGTAAGTGTTTTGACCAGTCAGATGGGTTCCTCTCAGACACGCACCTAAGGACGGCCTCCAACTCCTGATTGCATCTCTCCGACTGTCCGTTTGATTGTGGATGGTATCCGGAAGACAAACTTACAGTGGCCCCGATGGACTTACAGAACTCCTTCCATAATTGGGATATGAATTGTGGGCCTCTGTCCGAAACAAAGTCTGTGGGTAAGCTGTGAATCCTGAAAACTTCTTGTAAAAGAATCTGGGCTGTCTCAAAAGCCGAAGGGAGTTTTGCGTGTGCAATGAAATGGGCAGCTTTAGAAAATCGGTCCACAACAGTGAGGACTACGGACTTCCCCTCTGAAGGTGGCAAACCCGTCACGAAGTCCAAAGCGATGTTTGCCCATGGTCTGTCCGGAACTGGTAGTGGATGAAGTAGACCCGCTGGTGGTTGATTGTTGTTCTTATTTCGGGAACAAGTGGAACAGGCCTTGACAAATTCCTTTATGTCACTTGACAATGTCTTCCACCAGAAATGTTTCCTGGTGAATTCAATCATTCGGTTGATGCTGGGATGACAGGTGAAGTGATGAGAATGAACCCAATCCAAAACCTTGTG